CGGTCGTACCACAGGCACGATTGCAAAACCCACTGGACCGGCCAAACAGAAAACCTGTGTGCTCATAGATATGGAGTCTGTGCTTTGCAGGTTTCAGTTGGATTCTCAGGTTCACCCTAATTGCGCCTTCGGTCAGAGCTAATGTCCGTCTTTAGCCAAGGCACAGCTCGTGATTGCCAGCGGTGTCCCAAATTCCGCTCGGATGAACCTGGGCCAGATGGAGGCCAAGGAAGCTTTGTTCGAGAAACGATTGTGGTAGTTCAGGGTCGCCTGCCGAGTGGCTGGCAGCGAGCTGCGTGGAGCTTCTGGCACGCCATCCGATGCAATTTCGGCAGCCATCGTTTCTGCGATGGTGACCCTCGTACTTCGCTTCTGCGGCTCTCCATGCTTCTTCAGGCCTGAGGACGCGAGAGTTGCGAATGATTGCTTTGATACTGGAGATATTGAAAGACTGCTCTGCAAACTGCTCCTCCTACTTCAACAAGAAGTCGTGCAGTCTACCACGACCGACCTTCCACAAGAGCAAACCTCAAGAAGCTTACCCGCAGCATCCTCTGGCTGCGAATGTTACAACGGAAGTCAATGTGCCTGAAGAGGTGAAGCTGTTCAGGTCAGTGCTGTCAGGGGTGATGGGTCCTCCACAGGGCACACTCTCGAGTTTTGATCCGGACCTTGATGATGCTGAGGCGAAGTGCACTCAGCCCGCAATCAGATGCCAAGGAGCATCTTCTGGGTGGTTGTTTGGAGACTCTGCTGGTGGTGATAGTCGGGCGCAAGATTATTGAATGGTCGCAGCAGGTCACTGACATGGTTGCTGATTGAATGTCTGCACACCAATACACAACTCCGCTGCCAAGTTGCTACACTCCTAACCAGCATTGATGTGAATACAACTCGCGGTACCACCAGAATATACACAGGTTCATCAGAAGAGCAGTCTGAAAGGAGGAAGATGCAGTATGTCACATGCCGTGAGTCCGCGAAGATTGGCAATGCTTCCCAGTGAAAGAACGAGGGCGAATGCTGATAACGTACTCGAGGAGAACTCGAACCCTCAAGTTTCGTTGGGTAAACACCAGACGGACAGACCGTGACTGACCAGCCATCATCCCACAGTCGCGAACATACGTGAACTGTTGCAACACGGGCATGTCCGGTGTTTGACTGTCTGCAGAATGCACTTGTCATGGCAACATAAAGACAATTGGCATCTACTAGATAATTTTCTTCGGAAATTATGACCAAGATAATTCAGATGCTCGGTCAAGATAGTTGCTTCAAGTGAATTGCGAACGGTGCGAAGGCTAGTACACCACCAACTTACGGCGTCGGTATAGCATTGGACATACGTGTAGTGCGAACCATCATCCGCCGCAGTTACACATCAGGACGTCTCTGAGCGCATGGCTTGCATGGTGAATCACAGCCACATCGTACACAACAAACCACATGACGTGCTCATTGGCAACAGAGGCTGAATGCTTTTCTTCAGCTCGGTCCGATAGACTCGAAAGACTCCTTGGAAGACATGACATTGCTCGAAGCTTTTGAATTCACATTGCCCTCAATGTGATCTTATGCTGCCAAGTGTCCAGGAAGCCAGCACCGTCATGGACAGCAGCAGCCATGGCATTCAGCGTACCCGTCGCTGCTCAGCTCTTCATGTGCCAGTTCGCAGGTTGCTGACTGTAAAACACTCACAAATGAGGCTTGCGGGCACTGCGCCTATGCACGGTGCATGCATGTTGCATGCATGCAAAACCCACGTGCGTGCGTAGCGACACACAAGCAAGTCATCTGATGTCATCTGTAGCATCGGGTTGTCATTCGGGTGTGGCCCAAAGCTATCATAGAGAAAAAAGATGGCCAGGGAGCTATTGGAGTCACTCCCGCTTACTCCTGCACATCACCGGCGTTGGCTAGCGCATACTGCATGGTTGCATATCCTAGCCAAACCCATCCAATATATTCCAATATCATACCTCAGGTGCTAGCTTCCCACGCTTCAGCCAAGCAGAGTCTTGTTGTCTGAGATTGTCATGAGCCGAAGCCAAAGACTGCTGCGGTGGATCCTTAGATTACTAAATATGCAATCTTGCAACCGACCGTACAGGGTCTACCGACAACGGCGGGGACTCGATCGTCATGTCGAGCAACAAAACGGCCTGTTGGACGTAGGAAAGCCGTAACAAGAGTTGACGAACGTAATCCAAGGGTGATAAGTCACAGTCCCAGCCAAACTGCTCGTGAGGCCTCAACGGCGTCGCAGCGCAGCTGGAGCTCGGGCTCCTCTGGATACAGCCTGGCCTGTCCGCTCTCGGGTAACAAACGAATTTTTTGTGTTGAGACTAGTCCCCGTGCCTCTCCCGGCCCATCGCAGCAAGGCTTCCGTCTGAGCAAACACCTGCGTTGAATTGCGATGCCCATGTTTGAGCAGAGCTCAGAGGAAGACAGTGCAAATGCAAGAGATCTCTGAAGTTGACTCTAAAGCGCATTCTGCAACTGTTTCGTCCCGCAGTGAGGCTGAGCACCTGCCCATCCAACTCCAGCACCTCGTGCAGGACATAGGCCAACATCAGTGATGCTCTTGACACTCGCCAGCCGCCCCAAGCGGTTTTCAAGCCGAGAATCTGGGACTTGGCCGAATGGGAGCTGGCCCTTAAGGTTTAGCTCTTGCACCTCCTCGGAGACTCGGAGGCTCACAGGTTCCCGAGAGCGAGAGCCTGTCCGACGCAAAGCGGCAAGTCCTGGTGAGTCACTCGCTTGTCCTCGAAATCTACCTCGCCTACCTCAGTCGTCCGGAATCGGGCAAAACTCATCCGTCACAACATCTCCAAGGATCCGGCAAACAACGCAAGTCTGATAGGTTCTGCCAACATTTTGGTATCCTGAGATAGTCGGTCGCGACGAAGCCACACACTCTCTCCGTGTGCGTGTGTGCGTGCGTGCGTGCGTGCGTGCGTGCGTGCGTGCGTGCGTGCGTGCGTGGGTGGGGAGGGGGTGCGTGGCACTGCACACTGCTAGACATGTCCAATGCACCAGACAAGCTCTGGGTCACAGATTTGTTGTATCCGAGCTGCTAGGTAGATGAGCCGCGGCTTTTGCTTCCCAAGAGCCATGCTGGAGAGGCAACGGAAAGGCTGCTCCAACCGTCGCTGGGGCCTGGAACAGGATCAGGAAAAGATCACGAAAACCAATCCAATCAAACAGAGGGATCGAAGATTCAGCTGCACGCGATTTCAGTCGAAAGCACTTCAAGCCAACCCATCACGTTCAAACCTGGACAGCTAGAGCTCGAGCTCATCATATCTGTCCGACGGATGCAGTCCATGTGAATGAAAGTGCTGCCATGCAGCTGGGGCAGCCGTATACCACCAAGCTCCAGTGGTCGCCGCAATGAGCACAGGCCGCGCAGCATGCAATGTGTGTGTGTGTGTGTCATGTGTGGGTGTGGGAGAGAAATACAGCTAGAGCGAAGGCTTTTTTGCAGCTGATGGACATAATCTTGGAATTATCTTAGACACGTCAAAAAAGTGAGCAACCGACAAAAGCAACCCATGCTGCACGCTATTGCAGATTCTCTTAAACTCTCGACACATGTCCTGTTTCGAGTTGCTTGGCACTGGAGCACAATGCCTTCCGAACAGTTATCCACAAGTCACGTTCACACATTGCTGCTTGCTGCTGAATTCCGAAAACATCCTGGATGAGCTTGCGCATTTTGCCGAAGACATCGCCTCCGCCACCTGGCTGTGCACGGAAGGCTTCGTTAACGCTTCACATTCTTGACAGGCTGGCTTCTCCGGTGTTGATCTGCTGGTAACAAAAGCATCCGCAGAGCGAATCGATCACATGATGGGTCTGCCGTAGCGCGACACCACTCGCATTTTGGAGGCCAGCTTGTCCAGCACCTCAAAGTCACAGGGAGGCATACCTGGCATACCTGCTTTACAACCCGAAAGCTGGCCGACGGTGAGGTCATGCTGGGCACTAGCGACCGGCTCAGTGCTGGGCCGTTGACCTGGGAGGAATGATCAGAGCTGTCAGAAAGAATTTGACTGTATGACGTAATACGTTGCTCAAAGCCTCTGCTAAGTTGGGAGTGTGCCGGCAACCCACTTCACTCGTGTAAACCGCTGGGCTCATGTTGGGCCTGAGTGTCGACTAGGTTAATGCTTGACTTTCATCCATGAGCAGGTATGATCTCAAGCGCGTGCAACACGCTTGTGTTTCTGAATGACTCTTCGTGTAAAGCTGGCTAGCTACGGCTACATGTTTCCGGATGTTGTCCTAATCACGTCCAATATACCTGAAGTGGGTTCCTGTTCTTGCAGTTGGATGTTCAGCATTATCAATAGCTTAATTCTCTTTCACCGGGTGCGATCATGACCGTCATACAGACCCATTGCTCAACCGGTTTTTGATACCCTGTCGGACAGCGGCAGCACCACCGGCACCACCACCAGCGAACTCGCAGTGGCGGCAGCAGCACGTAGTGCATCACCTGTGATATCTGTGTCGGAGAAAACCTGAGTCGCCCTGCTTGAGGCTGACCGCCAACTGCTGCACCCTCTTCAAGGCCAAAGTTGCCACGGTCTGACCAGCAGCCTTCGGGCTTTGCCATCTTAGGCTGTCATCTGTGCGGCAGTCAGTACAGCTCCCAGGCACGACTCGTTCGCGATGCCTTTGAACGGCTGGAACTGGAAGACATCCTTGGTGCGAATACCATCGGAATGTCCACCGCCAAGATGAAAGTGACATGAAAAAATCAGATCCGGGGAGCTGCAGGAAGCTGAAGAGTCCTTGCTTTGCAGCCGACGTGTCCATGATGCCTCGGTCAAACCAACTGTCGGAGGCTTCAGAGCTTCGCTGATCCGGGAGCCAAGTTTCTGCTACTCAAGAGGAATCCTTGCGACTGTGCACAGTCAGCTGGCGAAGCTTGTGAAAATGATCAGTCCAGGCTTCCGCCTTTCCGAAGATCCCTCTGACTTTCCCCTACGTCTGCGTGCACCCTTTGCAAGAAACGTAGGCTGCCTCGAAGGGCCTTCAGAGCAGCCTGGACGGCCTGACCACGGAAATAACAGGGACGAAGGGGTTCTAAACGAATTGAGAATGCTCTGCCTTGACTTCGTCCTGCCGGTTCTTCTTCTGCTGCTGAAACTGCGCAGCCTTCGCCAGTGCATGTCCCTCCCAAGGCGATGCCACCGCCCTCATCTAACTCGGTTCGGTGGTCTACCGAAAACGAAGCCCTGGCACATCTCACCTGCTGATTAGCTACTGTGCTCGTGGAGAAGCCACGAAAAGACAACTGGTCAGACTTACCTTTGCACACATTGCATGGCCTTTTCCATGCAACCACGCTCCACCTGCAGCAGATACCTTCGGGGGGTCAGGGTGGTTGAGATGAGGGCACGATCAGTCTGCTCTTTCTGTGCATAAAGGCGAAATCAAGATTACGGTCTGTCATAAGCAGAACCGTGCAATAACCGTGCTGGTTGGCGCACTGCTTGCCAGTCTTGATGTCCTTTCAAGAGTCGGAAGCGACAGTGTCTGAAACTGGAACGCTCGCGCGAAACGACTCTTCAGCTCCGGCCGCTCCTGTTCTGCCACTGCCAGCTCGCCCTCGGCTTTGGCCTGGAGAGCGTCATCCCGCTTTCAAACACCATGTGCAGCACGAGAACAGGGTTGGTTTCGGGTTAAACTGATTGGACACGTCAGAGCAGTCAGACTTGTAAAGCCGATCACAAGTGTAGACACAACTTGCATCTTAACGGTGCTAAAATGCCAAACGACATCATGGCCGAAGTCTAGCAAGTTGCCACCCTCAGAAGGATTGCTATCTCCACGTGCCTCCCAGAAAGCAGCCACTATGTTCAACGCAAAATCTTCTCTCAAATCTAAAACCTTCTCCACGACATGAGAACTGCTGGTGGGATAGGGAACAGGTGTCCACCAAAAAGCTCTAGACTCAGGTCAAATCCGTCTCTCTTTGGGGTCCGGAAGCTTTCTGCAACATTTGGGATTCATGTTGGACATTTCCCGACAGAAGCAGCTCGCCTTCCTAGCCCTTGCATCAGCCAGCTCCTTCTTCGTCCTCTCAAGATCCTGCATTCGGCGCTGGGCGCTGAGGGCGTGAGATGACATGCCAACATACCAAAGCCGGGAGGATTGCCTGCTTGACTGCGCGGATCTTGCCCTCGAGGGCCTCACGGCAAACAGGCAGTTCCGCAGGTAGAGTCAGGCAGAGAGAGCATCCAGTAACAGAGAGTTCCTCCAGCCTTACTGGATATCCCGCACTGCTTTGGCATCCCGCAATAGCAAAAGCTTCTCGGGCAGAAGTGTTTGGCAACCAGGAAGAATTGATGAGTACAGCTATCGTCCGAGGCATCTGAGCACTGAGCAATGCCAGCGGAGAGTGTTCAAATTATTGTCCGAGCCAACTGAGCATTGAACATATCGAACACTGAAGAAACTGAACAGCGGCAGCCGAATCTGAGCAACTGCGGCCACATCTTGAACCTTAAACTCCAAGCGCAAGCAGGTCCTCCGGTGAGCATCGGCAGCTAGCACTACTACTATTGCCAGTCCGAGTACCAAGAATACTTTCGGACGCCCGGGGCAAACCAGAAGCTATTGACTAGGGGGAGTGAACCCCCCCCCCTCGACGCACAAATCAGCCCACAGTAAAATTAACTTCCAAACGACAGTAAAATTAACTTGCAAACGACCCTTCCACAGCAACACAAGACACACGTCGCACTAATACAACAATCTTATATTGCTGCATGTGTCATCGCAAATACAAGCAGGTCCCGAGTAAGAGGCCGATTTGCAAACTGGAAAACCAGATTTGTACACTTGGAATAAGCCAGACCACTGTTGAGACACCGAACATCCAAGCAACACTAAACCCTAAAACCCGAAAGCGGCCTAACACCATAGACCCTAAAGCCCTAAACCCTAAACAGAACCGGCTCTCCTTGCCTAATGCTACCCCAAAAACCCCAAACTCCAAAGTTAAATCCCAAAATCCTGCACCCAACACGCCAAACCCCGAGACCTTCAACCCTCAACCCCGAAAACGCCCTAAACTCCTAAACCTAACCCCAACGCGTGGTGCTACTCGCAGTGCTCGAATCGGGGGCCAGTAGCTTTTATGCAGGTGGAAAAAGCAAGTCAGAAAATAACAACAAAGAACTGCGATCAGTTACATGTCAATGTGAGATTGGACATGAAAGACATGGCTTGTAACCTAGCCTGGCCTGGCTTCGAACAAGCAGCAGCAGCAGCAGCAGCAGAACTGGCAGCAAGGGCGACGGCAACTGTACTGGGCAGCGAACATTCTTCAGCTTCAGAAAGTCGGCTGCGTGGCGCTTCTCCTTGCAGCCGTTCTGTGCACTACAACCGTTCCTTGGCATGTTGGTTCCAACAATATGTACCATGGCTTTCATGACTCCTTTGCCCGCGCGGCATCGAGAGAAGATTGACTTTTCGCCTGCAAGCAGATGCGAAGCGGTAGTAGACTGTAACAGGGATCACGGCCCGGAAATTCACTTGCCAAAGGGGAGAAGCATCATCGCAGCCTCCACATCTCGAAGAAGCTGCAAATTCTCCTGCAACCTGGCTTCAACAACGCAAGTTATTTTCGACAGCGGGGGCTGATGCCGGAGGGGTACTTGCTGAGTGCTGCGTTTGCAAGACATTCATGCTGAATAGACTCATGTTCCGGAAACACGCTTGCAGCCGCAATGCTGCGAAATTGCTGGAAGCAGACACGTGCTGCAAGATCAATACATATTAAATGTCGGTCACATGGTCGCAGTCTACCTCGCTTGAACTCATTCGTGGCCAGCGCCGGAGAATCAAGAACCACTATGTTTAGAAGCTTACCCGGCTTCTGGGAAAGTACTCCTTCGCTGAGATCCTTCTACATCTCTGTACGAAAGAGATGCGGTTGCATGGGACATGCTCGGGCACTTGGATTTCCCACGGTGAAGGTGGAGCTGACGACTAACCTGTCAACATCCTGAAACCACCAGCGATGCTTACACACAGCCTGTGGACACCTGTATTCCACAGAGTGCAGAAGCCATTCCACAAGCAGTGCGCTTCACAGCAACAAACTTGCCACCGGCGCGTGCTGATGGATGCATCCTGCGATCTCAAATTCCCTACGCAGCGTCACACAGCGGCCCACGGCACATGCAGATTCACCTGCTGAATGAGCACCCCCAGCCCCTAATGCATTCTGATGCTTTAACACGCAGCACAGCAGCAAGCACATCTGGCAGAAAGCGCCGCTGCTCTGGCGGAGAAGAGAGTTCTTCTGGACGCTGCAATATGCAGGACGTCCGGAGGACACAGACGCCAGGAGTTGAACTTGCGTGTTACAAACTGGTGAGACATGGAGGGTGCAGAACAGGATGGCATCGTCTGGTCAGCATCTTCAGCTGCATTCCAACATATTGAATAAGCGTACTGCAACGCCTCGCTTTGGCTTTCTGAGGGACTCAACAGTCCCATCACAATCCGGAATCTCTCACGAACAGCACAACTGAGTTTCTCAGTGGCTGCAACATGCGAAAACGGAAGCTTGTCAGCTAGCACCAGGTAACAGATGCTGAGGAGCCTAGAAACCGCCACTGGCGGATTTGCATATGGATCGGCGAGAAACACATTTACATAGCTGGACCAGGACCATCCAGCACGAGACGCTGTCATCTCCGGAAGCGTCATCAGTCACAGCAGAGGGGTTTACTCTCAAGAACAGCACACTTTCCGAACCTCTCTACGAGCACAAACTGCATTCTGCAAATGATGGCGCAAGTGTTTCAGACCTCCGACAAGCCAACTCTAACTTCGCAGTGACTCTCCAATAAAAGAATGCGGAATCAAGGGCTGGGACGGACACAGAAGTGGAGCGGTGGAATGATGCCAACTGGAGAGCCATGATGCTTGAAAATGCGTGGCCAGCCGGCTTGCCGCCTATGCCTCGGCATCTCAGCTGGAAACTAAGTCCATCTCCGCCATGACATCGTCCCTGTGCCCAGGTTGCCGGCCGGGCCGGGAAGGGACTGCAGAGAGGCTGAGGCTGAGTAAGTGGCGTACCAGCATACTCTCATGCACATAGACTTCTGGCTTGTTTTCAATTCTCTCCCGAAAGTCAACCTCTGAATAGAGTATTCAAACCGGCAAGACCTGCAACAAATCCGAATGAATGCCACTGGCAGCCGACAACAGCTGCTCAAGACCAAAGCGTGCTTGAACAACTCTTCCGAGAAAGAGATGCATATTCAAGCTGTAACTCTGGAAACCCGATGTTGCCAAACATGATGCCATGCGGAGGATGATTTGCATGTGTGATCTCTGTTCACTTCATGTGCTGGCTGCAACTTCTAAGTTGAAGATTCAGGAAGCTAGAATTGATATGTCAACAAGAATTGCAGACATGCATTCCATTAGCTCTCTCTGATGTTTGTATACACACACACCGAAACGGGAAGGTGGAAAGGCTAGGAAGAAGCAAGTCGCTTGCGTCAGGTTCCTCTCGGCTTTGGACAAGTGACGCACTCATTTCTTCAATGATCTCCGTCGTGGTCGGTTCCAGCCCGCTCCTGAGGTTCGACTCGACTTGGCTCCGATCGGTCCCGCATGGTAGTGTTGGTGCACTCGTGCATCTCGTTGCCGCCGAGGCACAATCCCACGAACATCTTCGCCTCAGCATGGACAGCCCGCCAGACATCAGTCATTCGTCGAGGGTTTGCTTGCCACACAAAAAACAAACATCACTGCAGATGTCGCGAAAGTCAAGCGCGTACGCCGTACGTCAGGAGCTTTGCACTGGCGGGACACATCCACCACAGGCCCACGGGCTGCTAGACTCACCCACACTAGACATCACTAGAGTCACTAGAGACTCATGCTGCTTTTTGAGGATGCCAGGGGGAGACGGGCCCTGGCCCTCTGGCCGCCAAGCCTAAGGCTTCCGGTACCAACCCGAAGCCATCAAGCGAAATCATAGGTCATGACATGAAACATCTTGAACTGCTCTCCAAACTCCTAACGCCAAGGCAAAGCGCATACCCTCGATCCTAAATCCTAGTCCTAGTCCGTATAAACTCGAGATCCTGATGTCGCAAACACACACGAAACCCTCGAAGAACCCTGAACCCTCGGACTTCAGAAAGCCGAAGTCGCTGACTCTCACCCCTCTTAAATTGCTTTGCCTGTCGCGGGATTGGTTCCACGACTCGGGCTCTCTGGCTGTATGCTTGCTGCAAAGACACTTCGATCTTGCCAAGCTCTTCACTCTCGAAAAAGAATGGGCCAGGCAAGGCGAGACCTTTCCATATGCTGCGCTGCACTGTAGTGTCTCGGGGACTTTAGTTCACTGAAACCCTTCACCAAAACTGCACGACGCAACGTGCACCTTTTGAAGCTCGGACATCCGACAGTTTGACCTCGGCTCCGGGCTGGGACGGCTCGGGGCACTGCGCAGTTGCCCCGCAGGAGCCGCAGACTTGCAGAGTTTGCGCATCGTAACATCTACATTGCTGGTGAGCGAATCGAAAGTATGGACTGCTGCTCTGTTCTTGTAGGTCGAAGAAGCTTGCATTCCAGCATGCCATCACCTGAATCCAAGAAGCTGTGAACGTAGCCAGAACTTCGTCTCCCTTGGTTTGGCCACAAAGCTGCGAACTCCACTTGACACCGCAAAAACAGAAGCTTCCAAGCTGGACAGGCACAGCACGCAGAAAATAGCACCCAGAAGATGCACGGCTCCTGCACAGTCAAGAGCAAGAACTTAGGGCAGAACTCGCGTCTCTTCGATGTGGTTCGTATTGGATGCCGGCGATGTGCTGCCGAAAACACCCTTCTTCTTCGCCTCCTTTTTCATCCTGGTGCAGACGAAGGCAGTCGACACTCATTAATCTAGCGCCTTCAGCATCACCGACACGATTCGTGCACGAGCTCAGCAGATCCCGCAGAATTCGGGATGCTTGAGGCTTCAAGCTATGAGGGATATGAGGGACTTTAAAGGCACGAAAGAACGAGACCCGCATTGTCGAGAAATCCTAAAGCGGTGTGTATGCGAAAACCCTAAATGCACAATCCCCCCCTAAACCCGAAAAGGATCGAGGGCAGGCTTCTAAAGTTTTGAGAATCTGAGAACATCACTACGAAAACCCTAAAAGGGGGATGGAGGGCAGTCCATACCTGAAACCCTAAAAGGGTACCTGAAAAGACGGCAGTGCATTCAGGCTTTCAAGGAAGGTTCATTCCCCGCCCTCCCCGCGCATAGACACCGCAGGCGCCGCCGCTTCATAGAGGTCCCAGACTTCCCCCAAGATATTCTGGACAAGATGAGAGCTTGTGAGTGGAGTGCTCACGATGATAAGCACCTCCAATGACGGGTGATGCTACGGGGTCCACCATGCTGGCATTAATTAGCACATTGGTGCTTGAATCGCCGGCCCCCTGACTCGTCGCCTGAATCGGCTGCGTGCTTCAATCGCCGGTGCTTAACACGAGCATGCTCGAATCAGTTTTGGTGCTTGAACCGGCAGTGCTCGAACCGGTGGCGTGCTTGAATTGCTTGTGCTTAACTGGCATGTGTTTGAATGGTGCGTGCTTAGACCATCTTGAACTGTAGCGCTGGAATCAATGCCACTGCTCAAATCGTGCTTGTACACAAAAAGAGCAGAAGAGCATAGCACAGAATGAATACTAGTAACTGGGTTTGTCAAGTGCAGCCGTGCAGCTCGTCCAACTTGGCCATATCTACCTGACCGGGTTGGGTTTGACACTCAAGGTCTCCCTCCGTAGTTGGCACAGCGGATTTTTTGTGATTCGTTGGGACATGATCGCATGCACGTCTCTGCCGGTCAAGACCCCAGAGCCAGCATGACTATTCAGCGTGCAGCCCCGGAGCTAAGTCGAGGATGATCTCCTCTGCATCCGCGTCTTGATTCTTGATAACAAAATGCCTTGGAGTGAAATCTGCACGCGTCACCAGGCCGATTGGACACTGACAAATCAAGCAACGGTACAAAGATGTGCTCTTGCCGGGCTGCAGGGATCTATTGATCGCAAAGCGCGAGCTCCGCAAGGACGTCAGGTCCAAGACCTGCGCATCTTGCGTGGGGCTCATGCTGCCCAACTGGACAGCAGCGATGAAACGCAACCGCATGTACAAGGCAGAGCTGCAGAAGCTGCCCGCAGTTTGACACCCGCACCCAACAATTCCGAATGCAGCTCCCTGACCTGGCCAAGGCCTGAGATTAGGCGCCGTGATAGTGTAAGCTTTTTGCAGATTAGGTAAAACTCACCTCAAAGGAACTGCGCTCAACACGAGGCGTGCTGATGAACTTCTTCACGGGGCCTGATCTATCTTTTCCATTTCGACACCTGGCAGCTACCACATGTGACATGAGCTGCAACGCGCGCAGAACTAACCATGCTTGGAGCAGTTAGCACTATGTCCAAAAAAAGAGATGCTGCATGTACATTCGCATTGATATGTCGGATCAACTGGTTAGATTCTGAAGATCTCGTTGTATTGAAGAAGAAGCTGGTGAACTGTTGTCCCTGACAGTTTCTTTCACTCTACTTGCGTCAGG